GTCCCCGATATGACCTTTGGTCATCATTTCAAATATCTTTATCACGTCCTTTACAGAATCACTTGAAATGTGCCATAAAGCACAGCCACTCCTAAATGTTTTCTTCACCTTGGTCTGGAAAGAAATGTTCCGTCTTGAAGTTAATGGGTGAAACTAGAAAGAAGGGAGATAAGTGTGAAGGAGTGTTTACCAGAAAGTAAAACTTACTTTGTAAATGGAACTCTATGTGAATTCCTTTTCTCCCAAAGATAAAGAATGACACAGGGCACTACAAAAATCAGGTCCATCTGCATTTAAACATACATGCCTATGTGCACCTATGTGGGCACCTGTAGTATACTTAACTGCTTTATTTGACAATCTTTTAGTTAATAAAATTCACTCACAATTTTACTTTCTAACGAAAAACCCAGTGGTTGATAATCTTCTAGGTTACCTAGGTTAAGTAGGTGTGAATACTAGTTTCCTGTTCTCCAAGGATCCACACAATACAAATAATGAGCCATGTATGAGGTGCCTCTGTCTGTTCACTCATCTTACATGAAGGACAAGAGGTCCAGAAATCACAATAATGTGGTCGTTTCACTTTATTGAAGAGAAATTATAGACGCCTTGGGGGAGAGAAGCAGCAACCAAAGCTGGAAAAATAGAAAGTGAGCTGCACTCCGAGAGGAAACTATGCGAACATGGAAAACAACCTTTTTTGATCTCCTGACTTTGACTCCATTACAATTCATTATGTATCTTCACACTCTGGATCTGTGAGTGTCTGTGAATGTTGTTTCCTGCTCCTAATGTAGAAGTTAGGTACAAAGAGGAGGAATGAGACCTGGGTAAACAGATGTGGTCGGCCCATGAGCTCAGGGCTTGGTCCCAAGCTGAAAGTTGTTCAAGTCAAAACAAATGTGTAAACTAAGAAATATTTCTTGGTAAATGCCACCAACCTGACCATGCCCACAGGCCCTCGGAAAGCCTCAGCCATAAAATTGGCAGGGGAGGGTGGGTGTGTGGAGGCATCAGTCAGCAGCTAGCATTTGGATCAATAACCTCTACAAAAATAATCACTCCAAAAGCAATCAAAAAGGCTTGTTCTTGTTTACACTATTATTTTGTATTCATGCATTTACTGCAGCCATTGAAATAGTATTTTGTTCAAAGTAGAAAACAGCCGTTATTTTTGGTTATTTTATGTCATCCTGATTAAAATGTCCTTTTTCTCTGGTACCTCTAATAAACCTTGTGTGTTCTTCTTTTTTTATATAACTTATTGAATGAAGAAGAGTTTATTTTTCTTGAGATGCACATGCATTCTTTTTCAGTTCTTTTCTATGTAATTTCTATTTTTTAGACACAAAATTAAGATTTAAGAGGACATTTTTTTTTTCAAATTCCAAAATTTAGTTAGAGAATTTTACCCATTATATATGATAATTGGATGCAATTTTAGAGCCATTTTCCTGGTTAGGTGTACAGGTGGGACTTTGGAATTTTCTGGCACATCAAATACCTAACACCTTTTGTCCTTCCTTTCAGAGCAAGAACACGCCCATTGAAATGTTTCATTATGTGAAGCAGCATGGATGGAACTGGAGAGGATTATGCTAAGCGAAGCAAGCCAGTTGGAGAAAGATAAATATCTCATGCTCTCACTCATATGTGGGATATAATGATCAATGTAAATTTGATGAACAAGAATAGATCCAGAGACAAATGGTAGGGGAGGGGGGGTTAGAGAGCAACCAAAGAACTTGTATGCATGCATATTAGCATAACCAATGGACACAGACCCTGGGGCGGTGGGGGCTTGCCCGGGATGGGAATGGCTGGGGAAGTTCAAGCAAGGAAAAAGGAGATATATGTAAAACTTTAAATAATAAATAAATAAGTAGTTATACCTAAGCAGATTACTATCCATGGTTATTAATGTGCTCATTAAAGAAGTATTTAAAAATGTGTGCCGGGGGGGTGGGGTAAAGAGAAATGTTTCACTATGATATTATTAAGGAAACAAGCGATAAATATTTTTTTAGTAATAACCCAAGAAGGTAAAAACTGTTAAAATATAGAGGTGGGCAAAAATAGGTTTACACCTGTGAGTACATGAAACAGAGATTTTACTCTTGTATTACTATTTATTAATTAATTATCTTATTTTCTATATGAACAACTCTAAACCTACTTTTGCCCACCCCTGTGTATTACCCTCATATTTTAAACTGTATCTTAATAGTCTTGCATAATCATTACAATGGACAATCTCTGGAATATAGACCACATTCACAGAAGTACTGCCATAAATGTCTGATATCTGAGTTCTCACTAATCTCCATCAGTAGCATTGCCTTTCATTGCAAAGTAAAAACCATACCTTCATTTTATGATATAGGATTAGGTACCACATAATCAAACCTAATTGATACGATCTGCTCCTCCTCTAAGCTTTAAAAATAAAAGTATCTTCTTATCAATACATATAATGTATGTTAATCCCACCCATATAAGTCTTGACTTCTAAATGCCTTTAGTAGCAAAAGGCACCACAAGAAAAGTGTGTTGACTAGAATTCCCATCAGAATATGGAAATTCTTTTTTTTTAAAAATCATACATACTTGGAGTTAAAGGTACAAGTAAGATTGTCTTATAATCCTCAAGACAAAGTGGAAGAATGTCCTGGTTATGTGAGATAGGTATAGAAAGGAGTGAAAAGTAAAGGAAAATGGGAGGAGAGAGGGGGGGGAAATAACAAAAGCTAGTACCATACTCATTTTCCTAGTATGTTCAATAAAGTTACAGAACCCAAGCTTACTTCAGTTTCTGTAAACTAATTAATAAATGTATTTACTTGTTTACTCAATCATTTAAAAAGGTGACAAGGAGAGCAGTCAGGATAGCTTTAATGAAAAGGTGAAGTGGTCAAAAGGAAAAGGAAGTAAACTTTAAGTTATAGGAATTTTGAGTCAAGTTCTACTCATACTTCAAGGAGGGGAGAAGACCCCAATTGGAGTATGGGTTGTATAAGGATTTTCCAAACCTTTCTGAACACAGTGCAGCAAATTTCTCAAACACAATAGTCTCCTATAGAAAATTGTCTCCTGAAGCACAATACGTACTGCTGTTTGCCCTAGATGAAAATTATTAAATTAACCTCTTTTGTTCAATATTATTGTACAGTGTGGATTTACTTCTTATAACAATAATTCTGAATTTTCTTGAGTTTGATCAAAGCTGAGTTGGTTATGCTTTCCAAGTTTCAAAATAGTGTATATCTCTCAAAATGCTTAAAATTTGCTAAGAATTGTGTATTTTCAAATTATGAAGATGAAGTAAATTATTAATTCTCTTTATGCTATTGACACATGGCAGTCCCATTTTGGCTGATAAATAGAAGTTCTTACCCACTTTTCATTCATATGGGTAAGTTGGTCTTGAATTATGCATAGATATTATTCAACGTAAGCAGAATCCATTTTTTTTTTTTTTTTTTTGGCATAGACAATGATCATCCTACTATTAAATTGGGGAAAGCATCAGAGAACAGCTGCCATAAGATGTGGAACTTGGGTGACAGAACTGCAACAGGGAGAAATCAGAAGACATCATTTCAGAAAGAGTTAAGACATGAAGTCAAGAAATCAGAGTATGTTTGAGGAAGAGCCTATGGTCCCATTCTTCTGGAGGGTGAGGTACAGGCATCAGCCTGAGGAGCCAGCTCTTGGCACATGTGTTGATGTTCTCATGATGGAACAGTGGTCAGGCTTCTACAATGAGCTTTTCATGCAGCAGGTGTTGACAAGTGGAAACCAGAGAGGGAGAAGTTGGAGGATGCCAAGTGTTGACTACAGCTGGCAAATGAGTGTGATTGGGAACAAAATTATTAACGTATGACTGTTGCCAGTCTTACCATCCACATAACAGACTCAGGAAAAGTCTTATTTTTCTATACCATTTCTTCCCTTTCTCCAACTGCCTAAGAAGGCCCGTATCAGTTTCATTATCTTGGTTCTCACAATCAAGGATGGAAAATAGACCCCCAATATACTACATAATCAGAGTTGCAGAAGAAAGCCTGTGCCATTGTTATTGGAACATAATGGAATGCGACAATCTTCAGAAAACCCCAATACATAAGCTGAAAACTTTCTCCTTTCTTTCCTTCCTTCCTTCCTTCCTTCCTTCCTTCCTTCCTTCCTTCCTTCCTTCCTTCCTTCTTCTCTCTCTCTCTTTCTCTCTCATTTATTTATTTTAAAAGCCCAAAACAAAATTAGACTATCAGAACCAGAAGTTTAAGAAATATTCTCTGCAGGGGTTAACATAGCACCACTGTAATTGGGGCATAAATATAATTTATATCCATTGCTTAGTGGGGTCAGGGCTTATTGTGGTAGGCATAAATGACACACTGGAGAGATTTTTCTTCACTAGACAAGGACTAGGGAGACATTGAGGACTCCTGAACAAGGTGGTGTTGTGGTTAGTATTCTTTAAGAAGAATCATCTAACAGTCTTATCCATACAAATGAGGCGGGGGGGGGGGGGGGGGGGGACAGAAGACTGTAGAGGGCCGCCTGGGAAGGCACATGGGCAGTTTTCTTTAATTATCATCAGCTGAACTCAGGGCATAGGCAGAGCCATGCCCTGGGAACATGCTTCCCCAATAAGACTGGACATGTTAATCAGTTCTGACTTCATAGCAGCCCAGGTGTTGGCAGGGGCGGGGCTATATATGTAAATATAGGTCTATAAAAATAAATGCGCTGTGAGGCTCCAGTGTCGTTGTCTTTGCAGTCTCTCCATCAGAGAGAATGGATGGCATCCCACCCAGCTCCCAGCTTTAAATCTATTTCTGGGTCTTCTTTCTTTATTTCTATTGTATTATTTCTCAATCCTTGACCGCCTCCTCTTAGAACCAGTTCAATCATCTCTCAACGCTGGACATGAAAAAGGGAGATCCCCACCATATTTGGCCACTGCTGCATCAGGCCCCCACAGAAGACAAGTGAAATCTGATAGGAGACTTTGCAATATACCAAATGAAAGGTAATGAGAAGGTGTACTAAAAGGGAAGTGTGAGGATAGAAAAGAGAAAATGGCAACGTATTTGTAAAGCAAAATGAATGTAATCATTGTGGAAGGCAAAGGAAAAGAGTTGATGATTTGATATTTGAGGTCTCAGGAAATGAGAAATGGAAGTCCCTTAATAGCAGCAAAGAAATACTTCAGGGTAGGAATAATTACCTTAATTTTACATGAGTTTTTTATGTATGGGTGGAACATCTAGGCAAGGATGCCCAATGGACAACTGGAAATATAAACTCCAAGAGAAAAGGCCTGTGTCCGTCTTGCTAACTTTTCACCATGGTTTATCTCTGAACCCTAACATGTAATAGGGTTCAATAAACATTAATCAATAAACACTGCTGAATGAAGAAAGAATAAATCTAAGTCAGTTCAATACTGTGAGTTCGTATGATAGACTATTGTAATTGTTTTATGCTTGCTTCTCTTTATTTATAGATTCTTTTTTTCATTTTTTATTAAGGTATTATATGTGTACATATCTTACCATTGCCCCCCCCACACCCATACATACCCTCCCTCCCCGGAGTTTTGTGTCCATTGGTTATGCTTACATGCATGCATACAAGTCCTTTGGTTGATCTCTTATCTCCCCCATATCTCTCTATTTATAGATTCTGAGATATATATATATATATATATATATATATATATATATATATATGTGTGTGTGTGTGTGTGTGTGTGTGTGTATATATATATATATATATATATATATATATATATATATATTCCATTTCTGAGTGCCTGGTATACCTCAAGCCCTGAATACATGTTTGGTGAATTAATAGATGAATAGGTGCTTTTTTAGTTTATATACTTCCTTATTCATCTCTTTTTTACATTCAAATAAGATAAAACTTACTAAATATCTTATCAACATAAATAATAAATATCCATACCCAAAAAACTTATTTTAAAGAAAGAGTGACAGTACTAAATCATGGGTTTGCCCCATCACTTTGAAAATATAACCATGGGTGTTTCAACATTTGGTAATTCTGTTTGACTAATAGCCTATCTGCATCGTCAGTAATTATAACTACAGAGAGCCTGAAAAAACCTTTGGGCATCAGTTTGGAAATGATTGCTTAAAGGTAAATATTTTTTAATTTTGTGAATGGCTGGAGTTTCCCCATACTTAGTGGCGACATATGACTCACTTTTGTTCCTAGAGCAAGCTTTTAGAGCTAATAGGGGCTGCCAAACTGAAGGTCTCATAAGGTTCCTGGGATACGAATGCTTCCCACAGTCCTCTATCCAGCGGTGGGTGAGGGCCTTTGTAAGGAATATGGTGTTTCTACTTGGGGAAAACTTCTCATTTCATATTCCAGGTTACAAGGACTTGACAATATATTAGCATTGCATATAATATATTTATATGGAAAGGGTATCTGGTCATTAAGGATCATTCACTTATGTTCCCATAACTCTATTTTATAAGTAAAAATATAAAATACAAAATTTTAGTCTGTAGTCATTTTCCCCCTTGGGCTGATGGCTTCATGAAAGTTAAAATTTTAAAAAGGGCAAACCTTGAAAACAACATCTGGTGTTGCCTTTGGAAATTAGAACCAGATATGCTTCCTTATCCATATTTCAGTTCACATGATTAGCCTGCCAAATTGGTAAAAGGGAAAAAGCCTACTAATTTAATTTCTGTTCTCTTTTTAAAGACACAATAGAAATATTTTAATACTTAAAGTAGCTATGGATCTTTTTTAAGTGCACAGACCATCCCTGAATATACATAACTATCAGAATATAAATTTTATATATAGTTAGCATTATTGTATTTCACATTCAAAGGATTAACTAAGGGTTTCATATAAGTAACAACAGGCAAACAGTATAAAAGGCTCATAGGTTGCTTTTAAAACTGGTTTTCCAAATAATTTATGGTACACGGGTTCCTGAGAAAAAATTGAGAGCAAATAACCATTTGATTCAAGCCATGTGACAGGCATTAGTACACAACCCATTCAGATCTCGTTAGTACATATCCCATGATAAAAGATGAGGTAGAATTTTTGTAATTTTAAAAACTTGAACACATAATTCACATTATGAACAGAATAAAGATATACACAGAAACTCTTGGGCATGTGATTAATAGAATTATAAGGTTACCAAGTACTATAAAGCCCATTTTATTTTACATTTATAAAAAGTTTAAAGTAAGCCAAGTACATATTTCCATTTAACAGATGATAATATTAAAATCTGCAAGCATAGATGTGGCATCGTTACTTTCATACAGCCAATAAGTACTAGAACCTAGAATTTCTGTATCTTAGATCAGAGTGTTTTCCATTATTTAATAGTATGTTTTTACATGATGAAAATCCAACAAACTATATTACTAATTGACTGATATTTGGTACCTAGAGTTCAATTGCACTCAATCCTAGAAAAATCTACCTAAGGGGGGGAAAAATGACATGAAAAACAAACATATTAGCATTGTACTTAGAATATCTATGTGTTAAAACCATTAGATATAAAACTTTTTTAAATGTATTTTTATTTATTTCAGAGAGGAAGGAAGAGGGAGAGAAAGAGAGAAACATCAATGATGAGAGAGAATTATTGATTAGCTGCCTCCTGCAACTCCCAACTGAGGATCAAGCCTGCAAAGTAGACATGTACCCTGACTGAGAATTGAAGTATGACCTTCTAGGTCGACACTCAACCACTGAGCCATGCTAGCTGAGCTGAGACTTATTATTTTGATAGAATATTTTTATTAATTGACTAGGGCCTGGTGCAGAAAGATTCGTGCAAGGGTGGGAGGATAGGGATCCCTCAACCCAACCTGCACCCTCTCCAATTTGGAAGCCCTCAGAAGAGCCCTCTCCAATCCCAGAGTTTCTATCTGTCTTTGCAATCATATGAGCGAGTTGTCTGAGATCCCAACCCAGTTTGGTTTGGTCCTCACAAAATAATAGAGGCTTTTTTTTTTTTCTTTGCTCCATTGGTGAATATTTCCTAGAAGTTGCAGGATATCTTCCCTTTAATTTTTCCTCAACACTGACTGTACTTATGTCTCTCACCTTTGCTTTCCCTCCATCCCCCACTCACAACAATAACTTGCTCCAGGCTCACATTGCTCTAGTGCCTAGGCCAGTGGTCGGCAAACTCATTAGTCAACAGAGCCAAATATCAATAGTACAACAACTGAAATTTCTTTTGAGAGCCAAATTTTTTAAATTTAAACTTCTTCTAACACCATTTTTTGAAAATAAACTCACCCAGGCCATATTATTTTGTGGAAAAGCCACACTCAAGGGGCCAAAGAGCTGCATGTGGCTAGCAAACCACAGTTTTCCAATGGGTCTAGGAGATCCTGCAACACATCTGCCACCAGGACTACAATGCCCAGCATTCCTGATGCTTCCCATGCTCTTGGTTTCCGCTTCTGGTCCAGGGTCTGCACAAACCAAAAGGACTGTGAACTCCAGCCACCCCCAGCCTGGGCTGACAGGACCAGACACACCAGTGGCATTCCCAGGACCTCAGCTGCTTGGCACCAGCATGCTGTACATGCTGCCTACAGGCCTGCTATCTTTTTCAGGTTAATTTGCATACTCACTCCTGGTTGGCTGTGGGTGTTACAGAGGTACAGTCAATTTACATATTAGTCTATTATTAGTATAGATGTTTCTAATTAACTATATAAATATGACTATATTTTCTATTTCTTTAGTTGTTTTACATGTAAGTTTCTCCATAATTGTTCCATTTCAAGAAATTCTACAGTCATAAAAATATTGTGTTGTTCATTCAAGTGTAGAAAGAAAATACAATGATCTAGTGTATATGCTACATAAGTAAGATTTATTTTCCTTTTATTTAGGGGGGATGAGAAGGCATCTTTTAAAATCTGCTCTTTATCTTACCAATGAGAAAATTGGAATGGAATGTCTCCCTTTTTTAAAATAGGGCTTTTCATGGTGGCACCGCCCTTTGGCTATTTCTGTTAAGGTCAGTTCCAAAGTCCTATTATCAAGTTTCCCCAAATTAGCTTGAGTGCTGGAACATTTTTTCCATTTTCTTAATCCCTCCACAATTAATGGATATTCAGTCCTCTATATAGTCTCATAATATAGGATTAACAACAACAATAATAGTAGATATCTCTCAATATTGTAATTTAGTACAATATTTTCAGTTGTAGAAAAGCTGGAGAAGGAATAAGAAAATCACACAATCATGATAATGCATACTTTCTTTTGTATAAACAATTTGGCTTACTCATCAAAACCTATGAGATAGACAGAGAAGCTTGTATTCTTTCTGTATTAAAGATATATAGAGAGAGAAGGTAAATGAGGTATATAAGATCAGTAAACGGCAGAGTTAGATTAAGAATCTTGGCATCTCTGCTCTGCTGCTCATTTTCAGGTGATTCACTCTAAAAAGTTCCCTAATTCTAGCCCAGTCAGCATGGCTCAGTGGTTGAGTATTGTCCTATGAACCAGGTGGTCATGGTTTGATTACCAGTCAGGGCATGTGTCCAGGTTATAGTCTCAATCCCCAATATAAGGCATGCAGGAAGTAAGCTATCAATGATTCTCTCTCATCGTTGATTTTTTTCTCTCTCTCTCCTTCTCCCTTCCTCTCTGAAATCAATAAAAATGTATATTTTTTAAAAATGAAGAAAAAGATCCCTAATTCAGAAGCCACATTATTTGAAAAAGAAAACAAACAAACAAACAAAAAAACCATGAGACAACTGTGGACTAGTTTGAAATTCAGGAGCTCTGGATTCCTGTCTCTACCCCATTTGGCCTGATTTAGTACTCTTGGGCAACATGGCATCATAGTGAAGGACATGGGTCCCAGAGGCTTTATGTCCCCCAATCCTCCATTTACTAGCTCAATGAGCTTCACAGTTAGTTTCTCTAAGGCTCAGCTTTCTCATCTGTAAAATGAAGATGTAAAATCCTTGAATCCAGATGGTCATGAAGCCTTTCTTTGAACTGCAGTGACTCCATTTTTTAACTTTAGGTTTTTAATCTCATAAGAAATAAATTGAAATTTTATTGAAAAGCTTTGCTGAACTCCATTATGAATTTTCTTGGCTAGCTAATGCTTAGCGCATCACTGTAATTATTAATGGTCTAGAAAAGCATTGCTTTGTGAAAATATTTGTCATTATTCAAAAGGGATGGGAATAAATGTCAGCTTTCAAACTTTAATTAATGTAAGTTTATAAGTATTTCTAAAATCAGATGGCACCATTGGATATTGATTCCTGGATGCCAGAGGATTCATTTTCTTTTATGGGATGAATACATTTCTTCAAATGTATCCCAATAATTTATCATAGTTAACAATGAATGCCCTGTTTTCCCCTCGTCTTCGTTTAATTTTGTTTTGATCCCCCCAAAAATGTAGGATTGAAATATGGCCATAATAAATATTAAAGTGAGAAATTCAATTATAACTCCAATCTATTTATTCAAACATACAACCAAAATCTTTATACAAAAATTAAGTAGTGATAACTTTATTAACATACTTGCATGTATAAATTCAGAATATTTTCATGTCATTTAACATGCTCTCACTCACAGTAACAGGAAACTCAAAATGGATTAAACATTGGGAAATTTTTTGGCTTGCCTGGCTGAAAATGCAGAGGTAAAGTGAACTCCAGAGAAGGCCTTATCCAATCATCCTGGTCAGGTTCCTTTATAGCTCTCTCAGCCCTGCCACTCCCTGTATAATGTGACTACAGGATGGAACAGGGTGGCTTCCGCAGATACAAACCCTGCAACAACGAATGACTACAGCCAAGAGAAGAAAAAACGGAGGTTTCAGAACTCACTCTTAGAAGATAGGAAACTTGTTGAATTTCCCAGCAAACTCCCCTTCAGATGCCTGTGGTCAAAATTGGATTGGATGTCCGCTTGTGTACCAGTATTTGAGGCTGTAGAGTAGTGGGATAATAATCCGCCCAAGGTTAGTTTACTTACCTACGTAATACAAAGGGAATGGTTAACATAAAATTGGGATTCTTTTTAAAATATATATATATTTTATTAATTTTTTACAGAGAGGAAGAGAGAGGGATAGAGAGTTAGAAACATTCAGTCTGCAGGCCAATGCTCTATCCACTGAGCCAAACCGGTTTCAGCTAAAATTGGGATTCTTTAGAGAAGGAAAATGTGAAGAATGGATGCTTCTGTGTGGGCAACCATCAGTATCCTCTACCTTCCCATATCTACCCATTCATTTTTCTAAGAGGTATTAACTGATTCATTATGATCCCGAAACGCAAATATTCCTTCTGATATGCCCTTGGAAAAAAGTACAAATGTTTTAAGTATTAAATGAATTGGCTTGAGCTATGACATTTTTATGCTGCTGGCAAGCAACCATGTCACAAGGCGTGGACAAGATTAAACTTCCAGTTTAATGGCTGGGATAAGTCCAAGTAGAGAGAAATAAGCTTCTGCAACTATATTTCATGCACATATAATAGTGCATGCCCCCTCTTAAAAATGTAAACCAGAAAATTTCATGCACACTGACATTAAGGAGGAAAAAGGAGTTTTCTCGTGAAAAGCATTCAGCTTTGAGAATGGCACACAGAAGTGGTGTGGTATTAAGATCCCGATAATGCTAGATCCCATGATCCACAGGTTACTTTTAGCCAGTAACCTTCCAATAAATAACTTCCTTGGGAATGAGATCTTACACACAAGAAGATTTATATGGAACTGATAATATTTAACACAACTTTTTAAAATGGAAAGCTGAGGATTTTCAGAGCTCTAACAAAGCCAAGAGGAAAACACAGACTTTCTGGAAATGGTATTTTGGACATTGATGACTCCATCAAAATAGGAAATCTTTTTTTATATTTTAGAATTTCTTTTTATTCACTGCCTTATAATTATTCTTAAAGAATTCCAAATCTCTATCCTAAGGAAGCAATGGGCTTTTCTCTATAACTACGTAACTTAAGTTTGAAAAATGATTATTTATTTATGTTGAGTGATTACCTAAGTATTTATAGAACAGGTTCTATATGTCCAGAAAAAATTCTAATCCATAGTTTCTGCTTTCAAAGAATGTACAATCTATTTCAAGGCCTCAATCCAAACATATAAGGAAATATAAATAAAAGATAGCATTTTAACCACTAACTTGTGAATCAAGGTATATTGATGTAAAAAGGACCAATAAGGAAAATCATATTCTTTAGAGAAATTTCAAAAGCCTTACCATCATACTATCATCTATTGAATACATATCTTGTACAAGATATGTACACTAATAAACAAGAAACATGCCAATTACCGTCACACTGCTATGCCAATCAGAGTGAGTATGCAAATTAACCTGAAAACATGGCAGCAGCCCTGCCCCCCACCACTTCAGGCCTGTGGGGGTCAGAGATACCATGCTCCAGTGCCTGAGGCTGGGTGCAGCCTGGGAGATGACGAAGCTGCCTGCCCCATGATCCCAGGCCGCAGCCAGCCGGAGAAATCGCCAGCATTGCATCCCAGGAAAGACGAAGAAGCCACCCACCTGCAGTCCAGGCTCCAGCACCTGCAGCTGAGTATAGCCTGGTAGACGAAGAGCTGCCCACCCCACCGTCCAGGGCACCAGCACTTGCAGCTGCAGCCCAGGCAAAGCCACCTGCCCACCATCCCCTGCTGCTGCAGCTGGCCTGGGCGCCTATAGCTGACCAGAGGAAGGGAAGCCCAGATCCTGGGTGCCTGTGGTCGGCTGGAGGAAGGAATCCTGGGTCCCTGATGTGGGGCCGAGGCAGAGGTGACTAGGGGCAATCAAGCCAGCAGAGGAGCAGTTAGGGACAATCCGGCTGGCAGGCAAAAGAAGTTAGGGGCAATCAGGCAGGCGAGCGATTAGGAGCCAGCAGTTCTGGATTGTGAGAGGATTGTCCAACTGCTGGTTATCCCCTGAGGGGTCCCAGATTAGAGAGGGTGCAGACCAAGTTTCGTGCACCAGGCCACTAGTTTTTAATAATATATAATTTAGTCTACCATCAACTCTATAAATTTAATTCATTGTCATTAATATTTTACAGAGAAATTGATGCTAAGAGATTAACTTGCCAAAGTTAAAAAGTTAATAAAAAGCAGGATTAGGTGCCCTAGCCAGTTTGGCTCAGTAGATAGAACGGCAGCCTGCAGACCAAAGGGTCCCAGGTTCCATTCTGGTTAAGGGCACGGACCTTGGTTGCAGGCTTCTCTCCAACCTAAGCCCTCGTCAGGGCTCGTGCCCAATCGATGTGTTTTTCTCACATCGATGTTTCTCTCTGTTTTTCCCTCTCTCTCCCACTTTCCCTCAAAATCAATGGGAAAATATCCTTGGGTGAAGAGTAACAACAACAACAAAAAAAACAGGATTAGGAATTGAGCCCATATCATCAAATCATACCATGTGGTTGCTTAGCTATGAAGATTTTCTGCCTTCATAAAATAAGATGGACTTGGTGAGCATTTTGCAGATTTAGCAGTCTTTCTTAATAAGTTGGACAAACAAGGGTATATTACCCAAGAGGGCCAACAGGAGTGAAGGCACAGTCCCTGGAGTATCCATGGTATTTTAGGGCCCTTGAAAGAAACTGCCCACACTGATCTAAAGTTTGGACAAGGTGGAAGAGGAAAAAAAGTTTGGGTAAATCCAGTGGAGTGGAGTTACCGCGATGAATAAAGGCATGGAAGAGTTTTACAAAAGCATTTCTCAGTATAAAATCACTGTTCAAACTCTTTCATCTCCTCTTTCTCATCCTCAGCCGCATCTCCGAACGCCAAATGAATCACCAGGACCACCCAACAACTTTCAGACATTTAGTTTAAACTCAAAAGCTTGGAAGTGTTCTTAATAGCTAAAAGGTTAATACTTTTCAAATCCTGGGTCAGACTACCCCAGGGAGAGGGCAAGACGGGTTCTGCTGACCTGGAAATCCCACAGGCCCCAGGTGACCTCGCAGGCTGCTCCTCCACATTCCACAGGTTCCGCAGTCTGGCATCGCCTTGTCAGTTCGAAATGGAATTCAGGCTCACGTGGTATCTGAGCTGAAGATCTCCTCCTATCTGAAATAGAAATAGCTCCAAAACTGAAATAGTGCACACGTGTGTGTTTACAAATATGCAGATAATATCTGGGAGAAAACATAAAAACTGGTTATTGTGATTGTGTCAGGGACAGACAGCTGGCTGGTTGGGGGACATTCAAAGAGAGGGGCCTACTCCTTACAAAACCTCTTGTACTTTTTCAATTTAGAAGAATATACATGTATTGTTGCACATTCAAAAATATGTATATTGCAAGTGAATTAACTTTCTATTGGTCTTTTTTTGCTTGTCTTTTTACCATGCATGCATTCAAAGCACAAGTGCCAGATTAATTTCCCTAAAAGCATAGTTCCCATGACATCCTTCTCCTGGTCCAAATCCTTCAGTGGTTGCCCATCACTAACAATAACTAACTTGCAAGGTTCACAAGAATTAATTTACTGATATAATTTATGTTTCACACCACATTTCCAAGTAGGTTATGCCTCATATGACAAGTAATGGAAATGGCATGTCATGAATTTTAAAGATTTGCTCAGGGTTACACAGCTGCCTCTCTCAAGCAGCTTATTGAGTTAAGTCAAAACTCTTTGGCCTACCATTGATTTCTAACCTTCCATGGAAGTTTTCGCATGTAAATCCCCAACACCTCTCTTCTATTTCTGGTAAATTATTTAAACACTGGTTCCTCAAATACTTTCTCACTTGACTCTCACTGTACCTTTTCTCAGGTTCTTTCTTCCCCCATAGAAAGTCTCCAAACTTCACCTATCGCTTATGAAAATCGTCCACAAATGCACCTTGCCCTGACTCTTCCATGGTTTTCATATTTCCCTTCCCAGGACTTTATTTGTACCACTCACAAAACTCCATGTTAGTTTTAATTATAGTTGTTTTGGTGTTTGTATTAACTTGATTACAAAACTGCAAACTTGGAGAACAAAGATCATGGTTTTTCATGTTCATATTTTTCAAATACCTAGAAAACTACTTTTTGCTTATTAGAGGCTCAAAAATATTTGTGGAATTTAGTTTAATAATTTATTTTCTGGGACACCAGAGATGCTTTGTCAGAGGAAGGGAAGTTTGGAGAAAATCCAGGAACTCATTTTACAACAGATATCACAAACCATCATTATAACATTCTCTGAAAGGCAGTTGTATTTTGTTAGACAGCACAGGGTTTGTTTATTTGGGGGTTTTGTTTTTTAATCTGATTTTTTTTTTTTTTTTTTGCGGGGGGGGGGGGGGGGGGGGGGTGGGGAAGGGGAGGCAGCATTTAAAATCAAAAGATCTTGCCGAAACCGGTTTGGCTCAGTCGTAGAGCGTCAGTCTGTGGACTGAAAGGTCTCGGGTTCGATTCCGGTCAAGGGCATGTACGTTGGTTGCGGGCACATCCCCGGTGGGGGGTGTGCAGGAGGCGACTGGTTGATGTTTCTCTCATTGATGTTTCTGGCTCTCTATCTCTCTCCCTTCCTCTCTGTAAAAAAATCAATAAAATATATTTAAAAAAAATAAAATAAAATCAGAAGATCTCATGAAAAAAAAAATTTTGAATTTCTAACCTTTCTTTAAAATGGGGAAATGGACTAGACTTGGTAATACCTGCCTTTTTTTTTTTTCAGTAAGGTACAGCCTGTCTGGTGTGCTATAGCCCACCATTCACAACTGCCTTACACCAGGCTGATTATGTGATACCTGTTGGTGCTGAATGTTTACATTTATCATTCCTACTAGGAATGTAGATCCTTGTTTCTTCATCAAAAAGTCCCTAAGACTTGTGACCTCTTACCAGCACTTCACACCCATTTCAATGGCCTGATGAAAGCAATTCGCTCAACCATTTTTGAAAAAATACCCACTCTCTTCAATGTAGTAAAACCTCAAGCAGAATTTAAGTCTATATTACATTCAGGCATTTTAATGAAAATACAGGGAAATTCTTTACACAGAGAGAAAGCTGTCATTTAAACCTTGAGACATTGCCAGTGAAGCTACCACTAATGTCCTAGTGCCTCACAGGCGCGGGGGGTGGGGTTGGGGTGGGGGACAGAATGCAATACAGGGGACAGAATTCCTTAGCTGTAAGGGATCTAAAGAAGGGCAATCCAACACTTGCTTTATTTCTGCGATATTCCTATCAAGTTGGTTTCTAAAATATCCAGCTCTCCTGTAAGGGCAAGTCCATTTCAACTTTCACAATTTGTATTGCCAAAAAAAAAAAAAAAAAAAAAAAAAAAAAAAAAAAAAAAAAAAAAAAAAAAAAAAAAAAAAAAAAAAAAAAAAAAGTATTCTTTCTTGTGTGTAGGGAAAAGATGATTTACTGTAACTTTACTACATTGGTCCTTCATTTTCCCTCTGTAGTAACAAAAATCACATGTCACAGCCTTTTTAATATTTAAAGACTATGTTCATGTTACCTCAAAGTCTTCCGTTTTCCTCAGGTGAAACACCTATGATTTCTGGTTAGTAGTATCCTCATTCCCTGGGTAAGTCCTTGCCTGATACATTATATCCCATCACAATTCTTGGCACGCCAAACTAGACATAGCATTACAGGTATTGTCTGGTCCAACAGAATATAACAGAGCTGTACTGACTCACTTCATTACTGTAACCTTAATTAGTCGTTTTGGCAGCTACAAATCTCTGTTGACTCACATTGTGATTGCAGTTGACTGGAACCCCCAAGTTCTGCTATAGCTCATCTTCACCAGCGTGAGCTTCCACAGTTGGGCTTCATATTTATCCCTGTCAAATCTCAGTGTTTATATTGGCTCATTATTTCAACCTGCCAAGGTATTTTGGGATTTTATTCTAGAACTCTCCCTTCTTGATTTTTGTTCCTGTAAATGTGATGTGTATGTAGTTCATCTTTCCTCCCAGGGACTAGAAAACAAACAGAATAAGAAAGGATCTTGCTTCATATCCTCCCTCCTGGTTTTCTGATTAAAGCTGGTCCCTCAATATTTTTTTAGAGGGTCATTTATCTGTCACTGATCTGCCCAACTCTACTGTTAGTTTTCTCACCTTGTTTTCAAGAATACTGTAAAAAAAAAAAAAAATTGATGGATTCCTCACATGCACAGGAGAAAAGCCGTGCCAAAGAGAAGCCTTAAAAGTGCTTCTTTTGAGTGGAAAAGTCTGAATATATATGTATATTAGGAAAAAAACACATAGCATATACGGAGTTCCATGCTATCCACAGTTTCACGTATCCCCTTAGACAAGAGGGCCTACTGTATCTCAGTATCTACATTTCCTCTATTTCAATACTTACATCCATATTTTTATCTCTTTGTACCTATATCTACATACAATACATGTCCTTATACGCTTTGTAGTCACAGATTCGCATTTTCCTTGGGAGAGAATTCAATTTCCATTGGATTTTCAGAAAATTTTCTGACATAAAAAAGATTAGGAACCATTAACTTAGTAAATTCTCTTGAGCTACAATATATAAAAAATAATTCTATTTTTTAAATCTCTAATGATCCTTACTTATAACATGCCTTCTACATGCTAGAAATGCTCTAGATATTGAGCATTGATATGAACAAAATACACGAAGCCTATGCCCTCAGGTAGTTTACATTCTAGTAAAACAGTAGACCACAATGACCAAGATTAATACGAAAGCGATAATATGTTTAATGGTGATAAATGCTAAAGCAGAGCGAAGGGATATGAAGTGTCTGGCTCACTGAGAAGATGACATTTGTACAAAGAACTAAGGTGATTGGAGGGAAGAAGGTCTCAGATAGAGATAACAGCAAATGCAAACTCTAGGTCTCCCTAATGAAGCAGCAAGGCTGTGGCGGAATAAGCCGAGGGGAAATAGGTAGAGATGAGTTAGGAGTGTTGACAGGGACGACAAAATGGTTCTCAGATGTGGAGAGCAGGGAGGTATCCCTCAGAGTGCATAGGGAAATCTGGGGAAGAGGTGATTTTTGGTTGTGATTGGGAACTCTGCTGTCACTTAGAGGGAGCAAAAATCATGCAGCCTGCAGGGCATTTTGGGCGATGAAAAAAGGCTTTGCCCAAAATGCAAACAGCAATCCCATTTAGAGACCCCGGGTAACTAAACTCTGGATTTTAACTCTAGATATAGATGGAAGTCATTAGAGACCTCAGTGCAGAAGAGTGAATGGACTCATATTTATTAAGGCTCAGCCCAGTCATTACTTTGGAGGTGACGGAGACCAAGACAGAAGCTGAGGCCAGTTAAGAGGCTGTCACAAACACCATGATAGTTGATCTAATAATCGGGATGATTATTCCGTGACTAAAGGCAGGGGAGATGCATACAGTGTGGACACACTGGACAAAGAGATGGTTCCATCCTAGTCCTGGACGGGACAGAGCAGGAAGGCTTGTGATTTCATCACCCTACACAGAATGGCGTGTGATTTAAAACTTATGAATTGTTTAGTTTCTGGAATTTTCCATTTAATCTTTCCCAGTCTCGGTTGACTGTGATAATTGAAACTGCAGAAAGCAAAACTGTAGAGGAGGAATTAGGGGAAAACTACCGTACAGAAATGAAGAGAGAAATCTAAAAGAGACCAAAAATCACCAGTGAAGTAAATAACTTTACCTTTAGTTATTTACTTCACTGGTGATTTTCCTCACATATTTCCTAAAGTATTTACAACAAACGTGTCTTAATTTTGCGAAAAAGTAAAAATCTGGCCTATCTACAACTCTACTTCATAAATCTCACTTAGGAAAGTTCTGATTCGACCTTTCATCTTGCTCTTTTTCTATTCCCCTCTCTCCAATGCTTCTAGCATCAAATGCCACCTACAGATGCCACTTTCAGGAATTTGAAATCTCAGCCTTCCTCTACTGGGGTGATTATAACCATGCAATACATTTCCAGACCCCCAGGATTTTCATTCTAAGGAAAAATGGCAGAATTGTTAGCAGCTGGATCCTCTTTGAAAGAGCAGGCCACACAGATTTACTAAAGCTTGGGGGGTTGGTAGGAGGAATGGAAAAATTGTCACTCAGGTCCCCTTTCCTGGCAGCGCCTCAAAAGTTACCAAGTGAGAACAGCAGTGCCCAGCTGCCCTGAAAAGCCAATGAGAGTGAAATTTAAAACTTGAATTGCCCCTCTCTTCTCATTATGTATTATTTGTCAATCACGAGTAAAAAGTGCTTTTTGCCCTCCAGCTGCTAGCCCCGGGGTGCATATATCTATCACTCTGTGGTGCGCTTTCCTGTGGAACATTGCAGGGGGAAAAATCAATGATTTCACCTTTCTTTCAAGGAAAGGTCGGCTTTTTTCTCTCTTCTTTATCTTTTTTTTTCTTTTCTTTTCTTTTCTTTTCTTTTTAACCTCATAGTTTAAACTAAGAAGGCAAGTCATTTGGGGAATCCCCTGCCCCCACCCCCCACCCCCAACACTCACACACAACAGAACATCAACTTGTTTTTTATGGTGAGAGGCATCTTAGATATTAAAATAATGTATATTGGAACACATGCAAGGAAACGTTCTCCTCTTTCCTGTTGGAGCCAAAATGTCTGAAATGAACTGGATTGCTGCAGCCAGGTAGGCAGGGATGTTGTATTTCCTTGTACTGGGCCTTGCAAATGAGCAATAAAACACACATTAGCACTCAGTACGAGATGCAGACCTTTAAAAACAGACTCGTTTAGATGCCTGCCTTTTAAACTTATTCTACTATATTGAAACACATTGCTCTCGTTTGTACATTCTATTCATGTGACATAGGAAGTGTTTGTTTAGCACCGTTTTGGGACCTAAGTAACTTTTTATGGTTCTATGAAGGGAAGTGAAGACATGAAGCTCAGATATGTTTTCAGTTGATGTAATAGATACACACTAAGTCACACCACACATGATTTTCTGTCTAGTGTTCCTAAACAAAGCACCACAACATCGCACAGTTACTCAAGCACATGAGAACAGAAGACCCTTAGCGTTTCTTTGTCTCTGAAGTTTTCATCTTTGGCTTTTATAAGGAGCAAAGGCCATGCTGACTTTTATTTTAAGATTGTTTAATCAGGAAAGTGCCCTAAAAGCTTAAGGAATCGTGGCATTTGTTCTTTTGTAAGTTAAATAAGCAATTGCAAAAAACATTTCTAAGTTGTGATTAAATGTACGCACTTTGACAGTGAATCAAAATGCTGATGTTGATAACCTGCAATGATGCCGTTGAAGTAAGGTAAAGCAATATTTTCTCTGCCTCATTCTTTT